GATGAGGCTGGAGCGTTGTGATAGCTGACACAAGAGGTGTATCAAGGTGGGTGGGAGGAGTTAGAGGCCATGATGGGAAGGAGAGAGGAACTGTCTAGCAGTTTGTTCACTGCAATTTCAGTTCTGTCAGCGATTGACTTATGCAATAACGCGAAAGAACTGTCACCTAATGCATGTTAAAAAAGTTGATGTCTACCTCTTTGAGGTGACATTAGGAATGACTTTGCGGCGCCCACCTTTGCTCAGTCTTAAACACAAATGGTACTGCATTTCTTTATTCAAGATGGTTTTTGTAAATCACGCCTCAGATTTCCTTCCTTTTGAACCTATCAAATAACTAAATCATGTTTCAACTTGCGGAGCTTTGACAACAGGAGTTAGATTAATTCCGCCGTCTCTTGTACACGGCGGCTTTTTTGACATAAACATTACTTTTTATTTATGCGCCCATTGTGCATATTTCGTCACAGACGTTGGATCTGTTACTCACCCCTGATGACATACGCATTGTCTCGGGCACATTCACCACCTTTGACTGTCAGCGAATTTGAATTCTGTCCTTGCCTAGCAGCTGATTGGTCGACTTGACCTTCACGTCACTCACCTCTTGACAGACACATACATTTTTAAAAATAAAATCACTACCTTCACTGAAAGGTTTTTTTTTCTAGAACTTTGAATTGTTCGCCTTTTGTCAAATTTAGATGAGATTTTGACCTTCGATAAAGTTGAGGCCTGTGGTTATTCGGGTGATTGGATTGTCCTGACTGGGTGAGCTGATTACTGCGTCGGTTTGCCCTTTTGTCGCCTCGACAAAGTCTTTGCACCTAAGACTCCCTTCTCATCGTGACAAAGTCAAGGTACCTATGAAGAGGGCGGTTCAGCACCTAAGACTCCCTTCTCATCGTGACAAAGCCAAGATACCTATAAAGAGGGCGGTTCAGCTCGAGTTACCGAGATTTGCGCGCCCCCACTGCCTCGTGGTTGTACCACCTCACTGAATACTCAAAGCCAAGTCCTATTTTCTACCTTCTTTTGTAACTCATGTCTGTTATTAGTGCTTTACAAGTTTGTAGAAGTCTATGTCTATGGTTGAAGAATTTCGCTATCAGAAGATGTCCCGGTGGAACAGTGACCCAAAATTCACTTCAGTTGACTTTGTTAATACATTTGGCCTTTAGATTTCCACATACATGTGAGGTGGCTGACAAAAATTTACTGAATGTCTCCAACTCCTTCTGGTCCTATCCATGCCACTGTCAGTCCCTTTACTTTGCACACAGGCACCAATTGTTGGACATCTGTGGCAGCGATCATCATTTCCTGGAGGCAAGTCCAATCATGAAATGCAGAAAAGTCCAGTCGACATTCCTTTTACTCGTAATTGGATGCTCTAGTAAACTTGGAACATAATTTTTACAAAGCAACTTAAACCAATTCCATCCAATCAACTTGTTTTTTTTAAAAAGAAATGAGTCATGTGGATGACACGATTTAAAATTGAGTGAACATAGTGGAACTCAGTACTTCTGACAACATCATAAAATGTGAATTGCTTTATTTGACCTTTAAAAATGCTGACATGGTGACAAAAGTCCTGCTTTTCACCGACACAGATTTTGAATCGACTTGGTGCAATGAAGAGGACCGAATTGGAAAAAAATATCACCCTACGCGTCTATTTGAGGTGTCAAAGTAATCAACGTCTGAAAGCTCCATTTATGCACAAGAGCATGACTAACGAGTAGGGGTAGCCGCACTCAGCATCCTTCTAACTGCCACTGGCGGCACATTAATTTACGCCATGATGCGTGTGTGTGTGTGTGTACTTTTCACACGCCCTTTCTAACATCCCAGTGTCCACCTCCTGCATCTTCACTTTCAACATCATTCTCCAGGGTTGCATTATAAATTGCCGTGGCACTGTAACTTGCACACCCGCACACAAGCACACACACCGCACCACGGCACGTCAGCTTAGGGCTATTTAAGCAGTGCGCGCTGCTTTCTGGCCAATCTTAGACCCTTTCACTTCTGTCCTCATGCCGATACACACCTACCTCCTTCTGCTTACCTTCCTCTACCACCTCCGTCCACTACACCGTCCTACAGAGGCAGTAGTAATCGAGGATCGACGCAAACCATGGAGCGATCACGATCTGCGTAGGATAGGAAATGCCCTCCTAGAACATGACAAACTTGTTGCCAGTTTTCTCGACAAGGTGGAACTAACTGTACGCATTCCACCCGGCTCAAATAACAAGAGGTAAGTCTCGATACTTTCACCTTCCCATACTCAAACCTTCTACAATGAGACCTCCTAAGACGTAATTTGACTGGGTCCATCAATTCTGGTCCACCCGTCTTGTTACAACAGACTGAATTTTCCCACCAGTCCAAATCAAAAAGGCATAGCCGTGTAAAGGGCTTCTAAACTTGCATTTTTAGTTCCACACACACACACACACATCCAGTTAAGTGGATTCGGCCCTTTTTTGAAGCATAAACACCTTTTGATTACCATTAAGTGTTTAGGCTAAGGTTGGAGATGTTTTGCACAACTTTAAAACGCAAAGAGAAGACACACAAAAGTAAAGCTCGAGGTAGTGAGGGCGAGCAAAATGCAATGGTGGTCTGATTTAAGTGTTTGTCAACTCATCCAACGCATTTCCTCCATCCCCTTCTCAAGTTTTAACATCAAAGGAAGGGATTTTTTCTTTGGGTTCCACTGACTTCGGTTTCCACTTCTTTGACGCCTTAAATCTATGTATAACTTTTATGCTTCATATAGCCGTCATCTACGGCAATTTTTAAGGCAGCTTTGTGTCAAAAAATGCTGACTAACAAATGACATTATAGCTCGAGAAGCATCAAATTTGTCTTCTGCAATCCCTTCAGCTCGAGCTGTTGTCATTGATGACACAATTTTGAGGAAGAGTTTGTGATTCTTGGTGTAAGACCTCTACAAAAGGGTTAGTAAATCAGTTTGGTCAGTAATTGTTCTCGATTGGAGCGCCAATTGCGATGGCTATGCATCATATGTACCGGGCAGAACCATAAATTTGGTCCAACTAGTCACGGAATGGAGGAGGCCTTGGAGGCGTTGTGTTCAACTGCACTTTGTTGCCCATGTCTCATAAATAAGCCTCTAACCGTGGAAAGTGCATAAACATTAGGGAGGAAACAAACGACTGCCAAAGCACCTCACATCTTGGTTGTTGTTTATGACGAAATTCAATCTCACTGCTATCTTAGTAACTATGACGACATTACATCACGTTTGAAAGTGCACAAGTTGAATTCTCGAAACAAAAGGAGGTCCAGATTTAGGAAATTGTGTTGCCAAATTAGAAAAGAGGTGGTAAATAATCATCAGCCGACAATTCAAGGCTAACTAAGAACGGGTAAAATCTCGCAGACTAGGGAAAGAGTGGAAGGAACTCGTTAAATGTGTCAGTGGTCTGAAGTCCTATGTAATCTGTGGAAAAGTTAAAGTAAGCGGCTGTCGGTTTGGGATAAGGTTTACTCAGGACGATTGGTTTGAGATTTGGAGCCCCCACTTGTCGCGAATCAAACTCTGCCATGTGGTAGGGGAACCAAAATCATCCAATCACCTCTGAAGTTCTCATCAATCACAAACTTTAACCTTGTTGTTCCTCTCAAACACCTGAAAAACTGAAAGAATGTTTGCCTTGTTCAGTCTCTCCTACCTCATTGGAAAGAACCAACAATTTGGATTCACTATTACGCCATGCACAGGGCCATTGGATGGTATCCATTTCCATTCGACCAATTCAGCTAAAGATGGGTGGCAAAGTGACCAATCTGTCTTCTCGGCATGGACATCACGTTCTCGAAGATCGGGTAAGCAGTGCTGCGCGGTGTGCAAGTGATGGTAGGACAGCTAAAAAGTTTATACAGGAAAACGCAATGTGTAAACATTTTGGGTTTAATAACAAGTGAGCAGCTTATAAGACACGTGACTTTTCTTAGCTGGAATCTTCCCCAGTTATGGCGGGCGATTTTGGTACCGTCCACCCCTACGAGTGGAGCCCCTGTTCTTGGATGGCGACCTGGAACTGCACAAGGTGTTGAAGGGACCCAATTGGTTGAAGGGATCAGGAACAGCTCGACTCCATTTTTCCAGTTGGGGAGCATCTGGTGATACACTTGTCGTGACAATCTACGCTCGGCCCGAAACCACCTTCAGAGTTCTCTGGAGTGCAAAAAGGGACATTCGATATCAGCCCTTTCAAGGGTATCCCTCCCTACCACAGTCATCAAAGGCATCCCTAATAGATACTTGTCGAGTTACCATCAATAGGTGAGCACCATTTCTATCCTCCAGGTAGTCGTCGTGGACCATCCATTTTACCATAGCAATCTAAAGAGTCGATCATCACTTTGAAACAGATTGTGGAATGAATTCGGCTACCCTATAAATGTCAAAATATTTAAAGAGAGAATATTCAGAGCGTCTCGAATCCAAGAACCTTGCTTAGGAAGTAGTTAATGAAATAGGTAAAAACCGCGTCAGCGAAACATTCAACTGACAAAATTGTTGTTACTTTTGGCCTTTTCAAGCACTGACTACCTAAATGTGCGCTGGCCACCGGCCATAAACGAAGACACCTTAATGGTCTACTGCGTGGCATTGAACAACAAGAGAAGTCTGATACATCACTGCTCCCTACAACTGATGCTCAACAGCAAAAAGGAGGCACAAGAGGCAAATCTTACTCACGAATGCACCAAAGCAAATCACTTACAGGTATGTATCTTTAAGCTTTCTTCCGCCACTCTCAATGTTGAATGTTTAAGTCAGCTCTGGTCCGGTGATAAAGGCAGCTCGATGACGATTGAGAGAACAAAGGTGGGGCTTGCGTGTTGTTATGGCGGAATGCGTAAATCTCAGGGGTGAGAGGGCACTTGGCCGTGTTGAAAGGCCAAACCTCGAACCATGAATGAAGGGGTCAGCTGGAATCCCGACTGTTAATAATTTCGTTTGTTAATTAGAAATTATCTTTAACTTTCTGTTTTACTGTTTTACTGTTGTGCTTGGTTTGTCGATCACCTCTACAAACGACCCCATAGCCCATATCCCAAGGTCATTCAATTACTGTCTTTTAGCCTCAATTATCCATATCAGATCGTGTTTGGGGGTCACATGACCACGAAGCGCCACATTGTATGGCATCTTCTCACCACTATTTGAAAAATATCGTATAAAAATTACGACTTTAAGGCGCTAACGTGGAATTCTTTTCATACTCGGAGTTGGTTTTGAAAATTTACGGGTAGGAGGCGTTCCAGTCTTAAAAACACTGAATTGGTACTCTTTTTGGAAGAAATAGCAGATTGGTTAAGATGTTTGGCTCTTTTCCGCTTTTTGGGTGTCGAAATTAGTCGCTCATGATTCTTTCAATTAATAGGATTTGGAGACTTGAACTGTGCCTCCGATATGCGGTTCAAATACTTTGTGGCTTAATATTTTTAACCAAGACCTGACTATTATATTTTCTGCCGCGTTGTTGTTTGTTCAGGCAAATGGTTTCAAACTAGGTTACAAAAAATTTAGAAAGTTGTGATAAACTGCTAACGATGATGGCGGTGATGGATGCGTGAGAAGGTTCCCTTGAAATGGGGACCGACCAATCAGCAACTCGAGTTGTGTTAAGACATTGAGCAGTCAGTCATCCTGAACTCACGATCGTGTTGCTGTGACTTTGACACTTGGAATGACTTCGGAAAAATTCCAGCCTAAAATCGCAGGCTAACAAGAGTTCCACAAGCCAGATCCTTTTGTCTGTTCTTCGGTCTTCTTTACGTGTTGTGAAGTTAAGGTTACCCTCCCGACTATCACGATGGCAAGCAGAAGGCCATAGTCTCTACATCAACGTCTACGCCATCAACAGTTCCACTAATTTGAGCAGCTCATTCCCACCCCTGGTTATGCATAGCCCTCCCCTTTGTTTGCATCGCCGACCGGTCACACGCGTGTGGGTAAAACTGCGGCCTGTGACCTACGTCCTTCATTGGCTCAATGATATTGCCTTCGATTGGCCTCGCAGCTTTCCTGACGTCTCTATGTATCTTCAGCCATGTCGACGGCCTCGCTATCGGGAATTCTTGTACAATCTGGAAGTATTTCAACAGTAGGTTTGATGATAAATTGAAATTATTCGTTTAAATTAAATCGTACCCACTCATGATGCAGAATTCACTCAGTCCTGACTTAGTCACTAATGCAGATTCGATTATTAATTGTCATTTCAAGTGGAGAAATGCCCATTGATGTCTCTACAAGTAAACTGGTGGTCGGAAGTCAAGTGCTAGAGTTGCAGAAGGTGACCTTGAGCCTTCGATTTGATTGGAGAACAGATTTGGCATTAATTTTGGCCTTGATTTTACCTCTCTTGAGAAAAGGGCTTGGGGAGCATAAAAGCGATCGGCCAATCGCATCAATCCTGATTCCTAACAGGCCTCTATTGGATTTGTCGTCAGTAACACAACACTTCACCAGCGATGGTGGACAAATTCGAATTCGACTTTCATCATTCGGCGAAAATGATGAATGTTTTCATTCCCGTGGTGATAAAATTGCCCGACTTTTCTTTCTGACCCGCTCTTCCAATGACTCTCTTCCTGTGCGTCCTCGGCTTGCAGGTTGGTTTTAAATATTACACAAAGTCAATTATTTTGGACCCCGAAAAACAAACTACGTATGCTCTAGCACACGGCTCTGGGACCGCGAGCAGCGATAAGGATCTGCTGGAATCAGACGACGACAGCTATCCGGTGGAGTTTACGCCTGATTGCAAGATGCACCAAATCACCATGAGAATGGTAGTTAGCCCTCTGCCACACTCCTACTGGATAACGACACTCTCCATACCAGAGGTTAGGATGCTACACCATCGAAATGCCACACTTGCAGGAATTGCAAATAGGGTATGTTGGAAGGCTGTTTCAATGTTGAGATACAAATCTAACTATTAGGTTAGTCTTTAGGTTCTTTTACTTTTATTCAATGCAGAATTAGGAAAACTCTTCGCTCCATTTGTGTAATGGCTCCCTCTAACTAAAACGCATACCTGGGAAGTGCCTTCGATACGGAAGTATTTATCGAGGCGACCAGACTAGTCTAGAACGACCTTGTCTGTGTCGCTTGTTGTGGTTACCACCGTGCACCAACTTTGTGAACTTGTAAACATGCATGACTGATTATCCTGTCTACAACCTTCCCACAAAGAGGATTGTCATTTGTGCGAATCCATCAGAGAACGATTTATGAGTAGGGCAGGAGGTCAGAATTTGATAGCTGTCCCACGTGATGGCTAAATATTTACAAGAATGATCGTTGTGATGATGGGTGTCTGAACTGTCACGATTACGATCGGTTGTGTCACGGTAACGGTCTTTCCCACGTCACATCGCCGAGTGTGTGAGGGTCCTCTTGTTTGATAATTGCGAGTTGAGATTTTCAAGCCTCCAATTACGAAAGGCTCGTGAACATATGCCTGGAAAAGAGTCCACAGGACACCTTAACTACAGCTCCTTCATCCTTATTCTCCTCATCCTTCGACTCATCTTTAGTGAGGATTTATCGAACATTTCTGTATAGGCACAAACAAAAGAGACAGAGCTACAACAAGGGCACCCGGGCTGGTACTGGGAGGGTTCCTCGAGCTCCACATGCTTGGCGTTCGAATTGAATTCGTGCAGATCTCCTATCAAGCAGTTTAAACAACCACCATGTATTACAATCACAATGGCACATCTTTTAGTGTGCAATCTCATGACAATTGGTCTAGCTGTCCAACCACTAAAATGTGGGCTAATGTCGAGAGCTTGTAGGCCTCCCAAATCCTTAGAACGCCTTCATAAAGGCAGCATCACACGTAAATAGAGCCATGATTACCCTACTAAAGTCCAACGTCCTCATAATTTAATCGTTGCCAGTAGTGTCAACCGGGAATCTCAAATAGGTTGTTTTGATCTAGATCAGTATATTAAGAAATGTTTGGTTTGAGGATAAAAGTAAAGGCATAGTGGAGCATTTCACATGCATCGTGACCGTGCTGATCGATGCTTCCAAGACCGAAGTGGTGGGGGGTGGTTTGCTTTTAGTGATTCTTCCGTGGAACCGCTGTCTCACACACAGACAAATCCATAAAATAAGGTATAATACTGCACTTTTTTTAGATCAACTACTGCGAGTACTCAAATAGATCACTAGCAAGTTTTCTGGGCCGTCAGACACAAATTCACTTTCAACGAATTACAACGGGACTTGGCGATATCTCGTTAAATGTTCAACTTCCCATCGTCTACGGAGAGGGATCATCGCGATTCTACCTCATTCTCGTCTACGCCGCTCGCACCAACGATGTCACATCGGCCTACCGGTCACTCTTTTTCCATCGTCTTATAGATGCTTGTCGAGTGGTAGAGGATAACTGCTACGCCACCACTCACTTGGGCAGCATTTGTGCCTAATCTCCCCTCCAGTCTTGGACAGACGGCTTCCACCACCGTTCGCCACTGTCATACATATCAACACCATTACAATCAACCAAAGAGCGAAAGTGATAAATCGGTATGGGGCACATGAAGATGGATCGCTATTTCTTTTCAAAAGAATTAGATTTTTACGCCTTACCACCGAAAATCACGCCCCACCAACTTGACTTTTGACGTATTTTTCGACTTCATACTGTAAAGTAAGTGGGTAACGTATAGGAAGTCCAGAAAAAAAGAAAAATTTTGAGTCTTCATATGGTATTAATACATCCGCTAAGCAGATTCAAATTGTCTCCATTTGACTCTCTACCCACTCTCAGTTGCAAAAGAAAATATTCTAGGCGGAAGATTTACTAGTCATGTGGCATGAGGCGAGGATTTTGTGTCCATCAGGCGGTCATTGAACCAGACTTGAGGACAAATGTCTTGATTTACTGGCATCCACGACAGGTGTCTACAACCTTCATCAGATCGATTTGGTGTCACACGACTTTGTTAACTCATTCGCTGTCTTGAGGAGATCGTCCGCGTCTCAAGTCGATCGCAGCCAATCAGAAGGGAGAACGGACAAATCTGGACATCTATTATGTTGATGGGGTGATTACAAAACTCTGCAGGCGGCATCATAACTTTGCACAGTTGCCTTTTAAATATTCCTCAACTAGTTCAATTTAACCACACACACACACGCCTCGATCTCCTTGTGTTGTGATTGCAAAGAAAAAGCCACCGAGGACCAACAGCATCGGAATGGATGGTAGATTTCTCTCCCAACTTGAATACCAATGTTCTATGCACGTGAGGTTGTGAAGTACTTTTAGAGCTGGGTAACAGGATCAAGAAAAGTTTGAGAGGCCTCAAGCGTTGTGTGCCCTATACTTGAAATGGCAGGCAATGGTCGACTTGACATGTGTAAGCACAACTGCTCAGACTTTACTGACGATCCAACAGAGCTGGCCAGTGGTGATAATTAGACCTCTGTGTCAATTATGTGTAATAAAGATACGACTGTAGAAAAGCTTGTCAAAATCAGGTTTGTGGTAGCGGCTTATTCGTCTGATGGGGAATTCGTGTTGTCTTAATTCGCGCTTGCTCTTTGTTGCTCAGAGACAGGTTGATTCGGAGGGTATTGTCAGTCAGTGGTTGAAAGGTTCAGCTTAAAACTCATGATGGTCCAATTTTGATGCATATTTGCAGGGTATTCTCCTTCTAAAGCGAGAGTAGCTTGGTTAATAGGTGCTCTTTTTCAAGGAAGGTGAATATATTGAATTAGGCAGAGACATTGTTTGGTAGGTTGTCATTCAGCAACGGCTTCCAATCACTTCTTCAAAGCTTCTGCCCATTTGAACTTGGTTGTTTTTTTGCGTAAATAAATAAATAGTTGGCCAGATTAAAATTCTGATTTCTTAGCTCCTATGAACTTTGAATATATATATAGGGACAGTTGATATGGTAGCAGATACTATTCTAACAAATTTGTGATACGCTGGTAAATGTGACCGCAAACAGCTTCCAGGCTCATGAACCCACCAAGCTTGCAAACCTTCTGTAATAAATCGGTAAATTCTAGGCAATTGAATAGGCAACTTGATAGGTGTCGGCAAACATTTTAAAAGCACAAAATGAGTCGATCAAGGGAAGTGGTACGTCACATCTCTTTCAGTGAAGTAGGTGGAATGGTGATGCTGAACAAATTACGGGTAGGAGTGTTTTTTCACCCTTGCCTTTAACTTGCCACTTTAAGACTTAATTTTTATGCCGCCAATAAACGGGTCACTTACTACTTTTATCATCCAAGTAGCAATATCTCACGTTCTGTGAAATTGCAAGCATTTCGTTTCTTTGAAAACAGAGGATTCGGAGATCAACCCATCTGGCCAAGTCATCGTCACCACCCAAGTGATTGCAATTGCAATCGAAGTTGGTGGTCAAACGAACAAAGCATTACAGATAGGATATGAAAATGAACCCAGTATCACTAAGTCAAATGAGTGTACACCAAGAGCAAAGTTGCTGAAGGTAATGAATGCAGGAGGACCTCGTGGGCTCTTCTTTTCTTTATATGCAAAGCACTTTTGATTTAGGTAATTATAAGAGACTTCCACTAGCAAGCAAGAAGCACCGACTTTAAGCGAGCTTGCTTACAGCAGACCACCACACGCGACTGAATATGTATTACCCCGGTATTGGAACCGTTGAAATTGAGAAAGACTTGGAAGCGTAAGAATCGAAATAAAGAGCGCTGTGTCGGCACAATGACTCACGCACGCATTTGCCTCTCAGTACGTGCTTGTATACAACCGCATGCAACTTTATAAGTCTAGTCAAGCTGTTAGAATTTAGTGCAGCTAGTTGAACTTAAGGTTATACAAACTTTAGTCATCCGAGACTTTAATGAAACTGGGCAGAATTCGTCCAAGGAAACAAATGTGAAAAGTAATTCTGCAGCCATTTCTACTTATTGGCCTGTTAGTAGTATAGACTGTGTTTAAACGAACAAATGACAATCGCCAGAAAAAATATATATTGACTTAAATAGGAAATGTGCATTAAACAATACTGATTGAGGACACAATGCAGTACTAGGATATTTTGTCTAAATATTTGGTGGGATAAGTCCAAATGTCCATCAATGAATTGTTTTGATGTCAAAGGTGGTGTTAATTGAAGGTGGATTATGCAAAACGCTTTCATAGCAGCAAATTCAAATGTACAAGTACAGTTTATCTCCATCTTAACTTGTCTTCCTTCCAAAACGTTCATCTGAACCATTATGTGCGCTTTGTCTCACTGAAGACCTGCCATGACTTACGGATCGTGTCACATCTATCACTTCGCCCCACCCCATACTCACAGGACATGTAGTTGATCCATGTGTATGCAGAGTTGAAATTGAATGCTGAAGTAATAAATGACCGAAAAGCTAAACACATCATTCAACACGTGCCTCACTTCATTCGTGATGTTGCACTCGAACGTCTTTGCTACAATGCGGTGAGTCGAGTCAAATGAATATCGCATGGTTGTGGAGGAATTTGTGATAAAAAACCAACAAAACAATGCTCACGATTCAAAATGTAGGCACACGGGTTATCATTATTAATGTTAGTTTCGATAATAGTGGAACGACTCCGTCCGTTATGATTCCCTAAATATCAAAACCAGGAGAAATGTTCTCACTTAAGTTGAAATGCCCAGATCTCGCTCTTAACGCGGATGGAAAGAAAAATACCCAGCATATGTAGCATTTAATCAAGTCCACTCCATCCACTGTGCTCCTAAACAATTTTGGCAATTCCGTCTTCACGCGTCAAAGCCCTCTCTTTGTAAGATTGTCGTTCCTCGCAGCTTTGGATGTGCGAAGGAAGGCGCAATAGAAATTCTTCAATGGTCGCCATGTGGCCAATGACGTAATGCATTGCACTGAAGAGTGTATAACGTCTCTGTTTATAGGGTTTGCCTGTCATTGTGAAAGCAAAATTTGACAAATAGTTGAATGAATGGAAAAACTTTGTGACCACTTATTGTTCATTGAAGCTTTGAGCAGGTAAATCAAAGAAACGGTGAAATTAGTTGACCGTATTTAAAGACAAATCACTGCATTTTTAATGCACGTACCCATTCACAGGTATCTGAGTTGACATCTCCCCACATCTGTTTATTTTGACAGTAAATGAACAAACAAGCACTTCACATAGAACAGAAATGTTCGTTACTTTTCAAGAGATATTTAAGAAAAAGACACAATACTAAGATTAAGTGTTTGCACTCATACAGTGGGGCTCGACTGTGCTTGAACTGTCCCAGGTTAACCAATTTGGCAGTGGTCCGATGTCGGCGAAGTCCAATCACAACTTACCGAAATCAGAAGTTCGAAACCGTCTACCCTAAGGCAAAGTGTTGTGAATAGTTACAGCCTATAAGTCGACCACGCCGAGCATCCACACTGAATTCCCGTGACAATCTTGCTTGACGTAGAACTTCACCTTATTTCAGCATTGTATTAAGGAAGGCATAAAATATAAGTGAGATTTAACGCTTAATCCGAAGCGTCAAATTTATCTCACCTACGCTACACCTAATTAGCCCCATGCTGATCGAACGTACCTAAAGACGAAAAAGACAGTTCCATAATCATGAGAGTTACTGAGAATCACCACTATTCAAAGCCAATATTTCAGAATTCTTTAAAAATTATCGAATCTGTGATGCACGTTTTCTTTCCCCATGCCATCAAAAAAGGTATTTGTGGTAAGTGCCTTTAGAGCTTATATCTACGTTTTTGTTACTAAAAGCAGTATATTCGAATGCAAACACCAGGTAGGCTATTTAAGAAGACTATCTGCAGCAAACCCCAGAACCCCAACCTCAGAAACCACAGTCAGAATCTAATTGCTCGGCAGCATCCGAAGGTCACAATTTTCTTGTGTCGATGTGAACAAATAAAACCTGTCTGAGCTTGATCACTAATAATCTTTACCCAAAGAAGCCAAATCTGCATTTACCTCATAATGATATGTGCTGTAGTTCACGATTTAGGTCTATCACTTTTTTTCTAGTCTTATGTTTGCAGTTTATTTTGATATATACATGCACAAAGCTCTTCCGACCATACAAGACTCACCGTATGGATTATGGCTATGACCATCCCATCCAACAAAGACCACGATGGCAGAGGTATCTACTGGTTTGCTGCTAAAAACTGAGCAGTAAATACTCCATCGGTGTACTACTGTTTATGAAGGCTTGGGCAGCCTTGAGTATCAACATTAATCAAGCCCCATTTTGTCATTCTAACAAACTCAGGGTTGTTTTTCTTCTCCTAAGTCAGTTGATCAGAAATATATTTGACTGATTAAGAAAGAATAGGACTAAAGGAGTTTTATTCAAATGAGGAATGGTAGTATAGTCCTAGCGCCTTAAGACTTCCCACCAAGTAGAAGGGGCCATTAAGTTGGACAGAATACATGCATTTT